CCTTTTCTCCAGTCAAGGACATTTGTTAATTGCCCACAATATGCTTATGTATACTTATATATCCACATTTCCCTTATCCCTGTCCCTAGGGTAGTGTTGTCCAATAGAAGCAAAACTCAAGCCACACATATACAAAGAAACCAGACAAATTAATTTTAATTATATACCTTATTTAATCCAATACATCCAAACTTGTATCATTTCAATATGTAAGTTATAAAAATATGAGATATTTTACATTCTCTTTTTGATACTAAGTCTTTGAAATGTGCTGTGTGTATTTTACACTTAAAGCACACATCAGTTGGACATGCTAGATTTTCAAACTTCAAAAGTTTGACAAGTTTGACACAATAAAGTTGGGTCTTAGGAGAAACATTTATCTTGCTTCAATTTTTAAATTAAAATTTTAAAAATTTAATTTAGTTCCTTGGCTAAGTTCACTGGCCACAGTTCATGTACTCAATAGCTGGTGGCCACTACTGAACAGTATGGGTCTAGGGTTTCATGTGGTAGTGATTTCTCATTCTGCAGCTTGAGAGGACACTATGCTTGTTGTAATGAGTTTGACTATTCAGCTTATTGAGGAATTCATTTCCTTTGGGAGTCTTAAAGGAAGCAGGCTATGAAAAGATGATGAGAAAAAAGTAACACTCTCTGAAAAAAGATATAAAATTTAAGGAAAAAAAGCTGATAGGAAAATGAGGAAGGGGGGAAAGTTTTAGTATCCATCCCTAGCCCAACACTATTTGAATATAAAGAAATTCTGCAGAAATCAAGCAGCCAAAGGGGGGAAAAGGTACAGAATATCCAAAACAGTGAGAGAGAAGGAGATGATGAACTCAAAAGTAGATTTTTTTTCTTCTCAGAAAAGATTATTGCTTAAAGTGCTAATAATGTATATTTATAGCAATAAATAGTATTTTATAGAGTATTTTACATAGTCTTACAAAGAATTCAGGCTGTAATACAAATGACTATCAACTGTACAAGCAACTTTGGCCAAACATTTTCTAAATGTCTTCATATCAAAAGGTAGGGACAGCTGGGGATTTAGCTCAGTGGTTCCACGCCTGTCCAGCAAGCGCAAGGACCCGAGTTTGATCCCCGATACCAAAAAAAAAAAAAAAAAGGTAGGGACAGCATAGGCAATGTGTTCTTCTTCTTTCACCATCCTCTCCTTTCTAATTGTCACTTCTCACATAGCCATTGTGGACATCATGCCTGGTGGGTTTGGGTTCACATCGCTCTCATATAGGCTAGACTGAATTTGAGGCAATATCAATTCTTTAATCATCTGATAATAATACTTAACCTCGATCAATCATTCAAATGAGGGTGGCCTTGAGGGTGGTAAAGTCAATGGCAGTGGGCAGACAGTCCTGTGCTGAGAGCCTCCTTAGGCCCAAATCTAGACACTGCCCAAGTGGCCTCTGACAGCTGTGGAACAAGCAGGTTAGTACAGGGAATGCTAACCAGTGGAGATGTGGCAGAAGGCTAGGACAGGCCTGATGGAAGTGTGGTGGCCACTGCTTCCTGAGCAGTTGCTTCCTCTGTCCTTCTGGTGCCCCTGTGTTTCTGATCTTCTACCAAGGTTTTCTTTTTTTTTTTTTTTTTGGTACCAGGCATCAAACTCAGGTCCTTGCGCTTGAGCAGCAGGCGGCGAGGGGTTTTCATTTTTTAAACAGAAAATCTCAAACATTGATGACAGCAAATTCTGAGTTATCTGCTTGCTAAAGCTTAGAAGAATATGTTCTTTATTTCTCTTTTGGTAGTGGAGGTAAATTTTCCTGATCATAAGTGTCCAGGCCCTCCAGAGATGAATTCTAAAGATTCCCTTTTGCAAACTCAAGATTAGAGGAAATCCTGATGATAATTGTGATAATGTGCAATTTCAAGCCAGCAGACAATTATATAGTACCCATTATGTAGCGTCTTACACTATTCTAGGACCTGGTGCAGTAATAACCATAACAACAATAAGTAAGACTGAATAAGTGCATGTATAATACTGCACACTGTACTAAGTTATTTATTTATTTATTTTCAGTACTAGAGATTGAATCCAGGGCCTTCACACTGAGCCATGTTCCCAGCCCTTTTTAAAATTTTTTAGCTTTTGAGACAGGATCTCACTAAGTTGCCAAGGTTGGGTTCAAACTTGTAATCTTCCTGCCTCAGCCTCTCAGTTTTTAAAGTATTTTTAACATTCCCATTTTACACAGTAAATGGAGGCATGGAGAGATTATACAATTTGGCCACATCACAAAACTAGGACACAATGTTTCCATTTCACCTAGAGGTGAATAACTTTCCAAAGTCACACAGAAAGTAAGAGGTAGAGCCAGGCAGTCTAGCTCAGAGCTCCTCACTCACTCAAGCTTTAAATAAACTCTGAGTTCTTGCCTCCTACAGTTGTATGACATTGAGAAATTAATTTAACCTTTCAAAGTCTCAGTTTCCTCATCTATAGTGAAGATAATAACATCTATCCTCATGGCTTTACAAGGTTGCTAAAGCATGTAAAGTAACCAACCCAGTGCTCAGTAGATGTCATTATTAGGGATCTACTCATCCAAGTGCACCACTGTTAGCACTGGTATGGCCACTCTAGTTGTCAAGACATTGAGATGCTTCCATGCCAGTTGAAGGAACTTTCCTCAGCTCCTTGAGCACCCCACTTCCTGCCATCCACGTGCTCTTGCAGGAGCCCTTCATAACCCCTGGGACTCTAAGGGCCTCCAGTGCTCTACTTTGATGGTTAGTGCCTGTGTCTCACTGGTGGTTACATTTTTTTTCCTATATTCTGGCTATAGATATGAGATAAACTCCTGCTTTCAATGAAGGCACAGTCTGAAAAGGACACTGGGCACGATAGGAAAAAGCAATGAAGGCAGTGATGAAGTACAATGTGTACAATGGTAGGTGGTGGAACAGCTCAGCTCGGGTGGATCAGAAAGCTTCATGAGAGCAAAGAGGCTGATGCTATCAACCTGTGCAGGTGAGTGAGTAAGGGCATCCCTGATCACCACTAAAGTTCTTTTTGTTCTCTCCGTATTTTCACTCTTGCTACCTCCACCTAGTTCAGTCCTTCATGACCCTTTGCCTAACTGCTCACGACAGCTTTATAATTAAGTGATCTTCAGTGCACCAGTTGTTCTAGTATCCATTCTGTGGGGTTTTTTACACAAGCTTTAGTAGGTCCCTGTGGCCCTATCTCCTCATTGAGCCATTTGGTACTGGGGCCTTCACATTGAGCTATGTTCCCAGCCCCACCTACAATCACGTAGCCCCAGCCTAATTTTCCAACATTTCCCACTGACTTTGGGTATACTCCCAGCTTATTCTGCTGCTTAGAACTTGTGGGTCCTACCTCAGGAGTTTTCAACACTCTCCTCAAATACACTTTTTTGGTAAAACTTTCTCCCATTTATATCCCTTCTTTCTCCAGCCTCTTGTCTCTCCCCAAGATCATGTGAAGAGTAATGTGCTCTAATAACTAACTGATACTGATAGCTTACTATATGCCAGGTGCTGTTCTAAGAGTTTGGCATGTCTAACCTCACAAAAAACTCTAAGAGGTAGGCGCTATTATTATTTCTGTATTCAGATGAAAAAGGCACATCACAAGTAAGATGTGGAGCTAGGATTCCAACTCAGGAAGATATGTTCTTTACCAGTGTTTTATAGTGACCTAAAGCTCTCAAAGAAAGAGAAAACAGAAGAAAAACTTCTCATGTTATTACTCAACATATGACGCTAGGTTTTGTAATTATTCTTGTAATTATTTTATCTCCTTTTCTATGTGGGCTGAAAATTCCTAGAGAGGAAGAACTCTAGGTCTTATAGCCTGTACCTCAGTTACCAGCAACAAGTTGTTGACAAAGGTAACATTACGGAGCCACCACATTCTCTGGAGACATCCTGTGAACTAGCCATGACCAAGCCTACCTTTCATTAGTATTTCTTCTAAGTAAATGTATTGCTTGTTGCAGGGTCAACTGTTGCAGGCCAGCTATTCCATAGGGCTCCAAGAAAGCTATGCTTAGTTTTATTACTCAGACTGTGTTTGAGAGTGTCATTTATCTTCTGCATAATGAAATAGATACATGTGTAGGTGACGTCTTCCTTTTAGAGTCAAAGAAACTAAAATGTCTGGAGGTTATTTACACAGAATCATTAGGCAGGTCTGTGGTGGAGCAGAGGAGGGACTAACTAGAACCGATTCTCCATCCTCCCAGTTCAGAACTCTGTCTGCCCCGGTGGTGAGTCCACCCTTAGGAAATGTACTGATAATGATCTTCAGAAGAACCTCATTGTTGACTGACCAGAAAAATTACAGAGCAACCTTCCCCTACATTTTACCTTCACACAAAAAAGAAAACGGTGACATCATTATGGGAACTCAGGACTTCTCTTATTTGTATTTTTAGAACGCTCTGGATTTTCCCAAGAGTAGTCAGATGTAACAGGTTCCATTTAATCTGCTTGGCAATTGGGTTTGTTCTAGAATCTAGAGAACAAAGTGAAAATCAATAACTGTACACAGACACAATTCCAGAAGCCAGAAACAATATCCAGAACCTTCCTTTCCTTTGTGGCACGAATTGTCACAAATGCTAAGAATGTGTGTGGTTATAGAGGGCAAGGGGCCCACCCAAAATTAATATCTGCCAAATATCTTGTAGAAATACTATTTGTTTTCCCAGGGTATCTGTCCCCTGTTGTTCTGTGCCACTATCTCCACTTCTGCCAGCTTTGGTCTGGGGTTTCAGGTGTGCGCCTTTGGAAGTGGAGGCGAGGCCCGCTCGCCAAAGCAAGGATCAGGACTTTATTACAGAGCAGAGTCCACCACCATGCGCGAATAAAAAGTTCAAATGGTTCCGTTGGCTTTGGTTCTGCCACGGCAGCAGACAAGCCAGTATCTTGAAATACAAACAACCCTGAGAGCCCAACTCTCCAAGACAGCCCTCGAACCCAAACCTCGACCCGCACTGGTCGTTGCCCCCTTTAAGAGCCTGCTCCGCGGGACTAACTTTCGAACGTGTCCGGGCGCCCCTCCTCGACCTCTGATTGGTTGCGCGCGGCGCACGAGGGCGCGGCGGTCAGCCCGGAACGGTTGGCGGCGCTTCGTGATTGGCGTTCAAGGCGCCTATATAAGGAGCGGGGCGGCCCCACCGCCCTCAGTTTAGCGACCGGACTCTGGGCTGGGCACCGGTCGAGATTAAGAGCGTTGGAGGACAGCGCGCGTCACTGAGTCGTTTCTCCTCGGAGCCCTCTCCAGTCGAAGGTGCACCCCGGCAGCGGATTTATTACGCCACCCATTCCTTTCGGGGCTTCCGAACGTTAGTCGGGGCTCGCTCGCGTCACCCCGGCGCCAGCCCGGCGAAAGGAAGGCAGGATGGAGTTCAAGCTGGAGGCTCACCGCATTGTCAGCATCTCCCTCGGCAAGATCTACAACTCGCGAGTCCAGCGCGGCGGCATCAAGCTGCACAAGAACCTCCTGGTCTCGCTGGTGCTGCGCAGCGCCCGCCAGGTCTACCTGAGTGACCCGTGTCCCGGCCTCTATCTGGCAGGTTCCGCGGGGACCCCGGCGCCGCCGACGCCTCAGCCCGGGGAGCCGACGGCCCAGCCACCCGCAGGCTGGGGAGAGCCGCCCCCACCGGCCCCCCGAGCCGCCTGGCCGGACACCGAGCCGCAGCCTGAGCGCCCCGCGGTCCCCGACGCGCCGCGGGCGGTGGACCCTGAGCCCGCGGCCGCGGTGACCGGCGCCGGGGACGCTTTTCGCGGTCGAGAGGAGGACACGGCGGAAGCTGCCTGGGGCCGCGTGGATCGACCACGCGTTGCGGCGGCCGTGGCTGTCTCGGACGTGTCTCCCGAGGGGGCTTCGGTTGGCTGCCCCCCGACTAGGGAGGAACAGCCTGGCGCGTCCCCCGCCGCCGACTGCCGCTGCGCGCCACGGCCCGCCGAGGCTGAGCCCTCCGCGCCACCCGCCCTGTATCCCAGGAAGCGCGGCGCGGCGGGGGCGGGCGGTGGCCACGCGGGCTGCCCAGCGCTCTGCTCGACCCCGCTGAAGAAGCCCCGCCGGGACGGAGGAGAGGAGGACGGCGAGGAGGAGATGGAGACCGGGAACGTGGCGAACCTCATCAGCATCTTCGGTTCCAGCTTCTCTGGACTCTTGCGGAAAAGCCCCGGGGGCGGCCGGGAAGAAGAGGAGGGAGAGGAGAGTGGTCCGGAAGACGCTGAGCCCGGGCAGATCTGCTGCGATAAGCCGGTGCTGAGAGACATTAACCCGTGGAGCACAGCCATCGTGGCCTTCTGAGGCCCCGTGCCCCGTGCGGGTGGAGGTTGAGCAGCGGGCGTCCCCGAAGTGAGAGCCGGGCCCCTCCCGGCTGCGAGGACGCCCCAGAGACCGCTGGCGCCGATCGCGCTGAGGAGACTGGTTGCTGCGGGGCAGCATCCACTGCTCCCGGGCTGGGCAGCCCCGCTGTGCCCTGTGGCTCTCGAGTCTCCACTTGAGACCGGCGTTGGGGGCTTATAGAAAGAGGACGATCGTTAACTTTTGTGTATGTGAATGTCTGTTTCTGTAAGTTTGTCCTGTTGAATTCAGACTATTTCGTCCTTCTGGAATGCACCACCTTTTCTCCGGGTTAAGGACTTCGGGGGCAGACAGGGACTTTCCTTTGCCGGCCGCGCAGAGGAGGAAGCGGCCGAAAGGTTGTAGGCCGGGGAGTTCCCCGTTCGTTCTCCGGGGAGGGAGGGACTTTACACACACCCCTCAAACGAAAACTAGAACCGCACCGGGCCTAGAGTGGCGTTTCCTCCCAGGATTTCCTCAGACTCTAGGGGGTTTTAGTCTGCCGTATAGTCTTGTATTATTTCTCTCCCTCTCCATCATTCTCTAGCACAGAAGAAACGTTTATACCCTGTGATTACTCTGCGAAAGGGGAGTATTAAGGGACCGTCGCTTCCCCACAGGGGAAAGAAGCTTGATGCACTTCACAGAAGAGTTCAGGCTTGGAAATATGGAGTTTATAGAGAAAAGTTTTATTTTTAAAAGCTCTAGCTCAGAACTACTAAACAGTGCTTTTAAAAAGTGTTTAATGAAACAAAGTTTACAGACAAGCCCTAAGTGGAAAGACCTTATGGTTTTGTAGATATGGTGACTCCAGTCTTTGTTGTATAAAGGTTGGGGGAGCTGATAAGGTTTTTGTACAGTATTTTCTCCTTCGTTGTATTGATTTTTGTATAAAAATGTAACTTTACGTGTCCAACACGTATTAAATATTTTGAAGCAACTTCACAGCCTCCTTGTCTATAATCACTGCTTGCTTGGGTTTGGAGGGAAGGGGGAGGAGGGAAACTAAAGCCTGGACTAGAAAATTGAAGGTGTGGGTCTTAATATCATTCACAGACTGAGGACTTTGCTGACTTTACAAATCAAACGTGTAGGATTTTACTCCCTCATAGGGAGTACCAGCGACTGCTAAATTTCTTGAAACCTGCTACTCCAACTGCCTTTACTAGACTCAGTTTAGGCCAATTTGATTCTCTACAGCCCAATCTGATGATCTCTTAAAAATTAAATAATTTAAGCACCAACTTTTGAAGCCCTTCTTGGCCACAAAAATGTTTTTCACCAAACTTTCCTGTGTCGTGTTAAGCTATATATCATGTTATCTTTTAGATTTGAGGAAACAAAATATTGTTTAGATAGTAGCGTACTTAGAAGGAGTCTGTTGGAGCAGGACATGGGAAGAAGCTGATGAGACTGACTTGTCCAAAGGGTCAGGTCCACTTCTGCATTCCAGATGCATTCTAGATGTCGGGATTGAAATTTTCCATTTTTATTCTTTTACTGGTACACCTGTAGAAAGTAAATGCATTGGTGAAAGTGAAATTGTGTCAAACTAGATCAGGAGGCCAAGGAGGGCTGGATAAATTTCATTTAACAAAACTTCCTGATTTGCTTTTGTCACCTAAATGGTGACATTAGTGTTTTGGTCATGGTGATATTTAGATGAGGATAGCCAAGTCATTTTACTAAGATAACTGATTATAAGGAAACCTGAGTAAAGGAAAATGTTCAATACTTGAAAGTATTCCATCTCTATTTTAGAAGCCAACCAGTTAGTGGTGCTTTAAAAGGTGGTCACCAGTACTTTAAAAGGTAATACCAGTTTGAGTGAATAGAGTGTTTAAGAGATGAGAGAAATTGAGACAAAGCTTTAAGTAAAGGTTATGGCCCTTAAGCAAAAGGAGCATATGAATGATGCATTGGCCTTAGCTAAACTTCCAATTATATGAACTTTGGGCATAGCAGAACATTGATTTATTTCTGAAAATCTATTAGTGGTTTCTTAAGCATAGGAAACTTTTTTTCACTTTATGCTCTATCACCATAATTATATATAGAATAAGACATTCTCTAATCGGGGTCTTGTTAAATTGACTTTTCTTTCAGAGACTAGCTACTTAAATGCTGATAGAGCTACCAAAGATCCATTGAGTACTGACTGCTTAAATTGAAGAAAGTATCCAGGGCCCAAATTCTGCAAACATTTCCTGTTGCTAGAAAGTATTCTTACCAGTTATCTCAATGCCTTTTTATATACAAAAGGGGGTAACATTTGGTGTGTTAAAAGAGAGCTGTATGTTTTGGAAGAGACTAAAGTTCCTGTTGCTCCTTGGTTTCACATTAAGATCAACCATGGGACCATGTGTCTGCTTAATTTAGAGAATGTAAATTGGCGTATTTGATAGAGGGATAAAGCTGTGTAGGAAATTTTTAAAACTCATCTTTATTGCAGAATTATTGCAGGAGCAGTATAGTGTAATGGTTAGAGCATGCCTGGATTTTTGTATCCTGGCTTTGCCAATTTGTTCTGGGACCTTGGGCAAGTTGTTCTATCTCTGGGCCTTAGTTTTATCAAACGTGAAATTGGAATAACCATACCTACTTCATAGAGTTATGTAAATTAATGAGTTAATGGTCTTAGAATAGTAACAAATATAGTAAGTACTGAATTAATATAAAGGTGCATTCTATAAATTATATACTGTGATAAAAGAATTGTACGTATTTGTATGACAGGAGAATATTTTTATGATATCCTACCTGTGAATGCTGGGCTCTTTTATTCTATTTTTCTCTGGACACTTAGCAGTCAAGCTTTGTTCCACCAACATAGTTTTGTTGCTATGTATGTCTCACACCAACCCTCTGACTTTCCTGGATTATATCAAACAATTCTATTTTTGGGAAGGAGTAAGCAGGAGTGAAAACTCACAAGGAGCAAAGTTCTTGTTGACATACAAATGTGTTCTGTGGATGAGTAAAGAAAAAATAGCTCACAGAGTTATTTTTAGCCCGAATTGCTTGGGCATAGAATATTTCTTAAACCAGGTCTTGGACAAAAGCCTGCTTGATGCCAAGATAAGGTTATCACGTAACTAATCAGATGCAGTGTGATTAGAAACAAAGCCATGGTTTTAGTATTTAACCATTTTTTGATAGCTCTAGAAGGAGTTCTCTTGATCAAATTAACCATAGCACTGGGTCTGGATTATTTGTCTTTGCAGTGTGGAAGATAGAACCCAAGGCTTTGTTTATGCTAGGGAAGCACCATACCACTGAGCTACATTCCCAGCCTTAAAAAAACTTTTGATTGCCATGAAAAGCTAGATGATTAAAATGTTTTTGCTAAGTACTCAAGAAGATACATTAATAGGGAATAGAGATGATAGATTTTAGTACAGTACAGTACTCAACTATTTTGCTTTAAACCTTCCTTCCCTGTCAGAAGCCATCATGTATTTGGGAAAAATAATTAATGATGGGAAGCTTGAACTGCTCCTACAAAAGTGATTGGGTCTTCTCTGAGGAACCTAAGAACATTTTCATTCCTCCCATCTCCTATCACTGATAGGAATTTGGGATGAGACGTTTGAGGGACTAGGTCATTTAACAACTTTTGTGGAATGCATCTCAGAATAAATACATAGTTAATATTGGGAATGAAGTCAATAATGATAAAACTGGGGCCAGGGATTTAGCTCAGTGGTTTCACCGCCTGCTGCGCAAGCGCAAGGACCGGAGTTTGATCGCCAGTACCAGAAAAAAAAACAACAACAGAATAATGACAAAACTGTTCCATTTTATCACTGGATTAATATGAGTCTCTGCAACTTACTATGAAGGACAACCTTGCTTAGAACCTGTGTGAATGGGTCTGAAGGCTAATACCTGCTGTGACTTGGACTTTGATGGACATTTATTTCCTTATACCTTTTCTTAGTAGAGTTAGTTCAGTTCACTGAGTAACCAAAGGATTTCTGATCTCTTGCGCTAAATATTTTATTCTTGTCCTGTTTGTGAATTTTTTATTCGCCTAGGCTCCCTTTTATCCCAGCAGTTCCTGAAAGAAGATGGGAATGAAAAGAAATGCTGATCCAACCTTCCCGTGACTATGAAAGAAGCCCTTACTATGAGGTGCAGTGCTCCAGTGGGGAGTGAGGTCGACTTCCCAGGATTCTTGGCACTCTTGCCAGTAATGAGCAGTTTGTCTCTTAGCCTTTGAACCATTGTTCAAATTTAAAATTCCACCCAGTGGAAAGCCTTAGGAGGAAAAACATAGTAGAAGCAGAGTTGATGTTAGGAATCACTACAGTTTTTATCTCATGCCCTCAAGAGTTTTTTAGTAATATTTCTTGAGGCTACAATAGAGAATGAATATTAAAGAGCAGAAAGTATAAAATATACACATCTAGTTGAATGCTTCCTTCCTGATCTAAACAGTTTTTCTCAATATCTGTCACCCCCACCCCTGCAGTGGGAATGAGAGCTATAAAAATAAAAACTCTCTCTAGCAACTTCTCTCTCTCGGGGGAATACAGCCCAAAGCTTCTTTGCTGGACTACTTCCTGGGATTTGCCTCAGACCTTTGGAATCCTACAGGCCTGGAGGAAGCCTCCAGGGACTACATTCCTGTAGAGGCCTCTTCCTCTCCCCTGCTCTGCAGATCAAGAACAGCCTCCACCATGATACTGACCACTCATGGGTAGGTAAGAGAGAGTGTTGGCAATTAGCTTCAGAAGCTGCAGAAAGAGGGGCTGGTCCTTGTCACTGCCACTAAGCATCTCTAGCAGGTGATTCCTTTAGGGGTCTGGCATAGAGTAGACCTGTGATGTTTGTTGGTAGATTTGCTTATAGAGAATTTTATATAATAAAGTATCTGGAATCTGGTTATAAGATGCCTTCAGCCTGTGTAATAAGTCATATTTCTGACTTACAGGGTGAAGGTGAGAATCATCTGTGCCTTTCCCACCCATTTAGCACAAAGTTAGCCCTGGCCCTAGCCCTCTGATTTCTTCCTACAAACTGGAATGCTGCCAGGTTTCCTAGCTCCAGTCATTTCCACCAGATGCCAAACCAAGGCTCATTCCAGTTTTTCTAGAACTCCAAGGTGTGCTGAAAGCCATGTGTTCCCACCTCTTTATTCTCTGACCTATTCCATCTCTCAAATCTTGGGGCAGGGCAACATCTGGGTACTTGTCTCTGAGGTTAAAAACAAACAATGCACAAGAAAACAAAAACATCTGTACACACTGAAAACTGTTCCTGCCACTCACAGCAGTGAAATTATCTCTGAGGTATAGGATTTCCCGTGGCTACTCCGTGATCAATACCTTCTTGAATCCAGGATACCATCCATTACAAGTATTTCTCCAAGTTGATTCACACTATTTGGGTATCTATAGCTAGTCACTGTATCATCCTGGCTTTTGTGCCACAGATATTTCTATCAGTGTTGTAGCTCTTTTGTCTTCCATGTCTGTTTGTCTGGGTTTCCAGGTCCTTCTAAGTCTCCTCTCTGGCTTCTGAGGATACTCACACTCATACTTTCCCTGGTGAAGAGTCTGACTGCTCAGGAAAGAACTATGATTGGAAGTGGTGCACCCCACTATGAAGAAACCAAAAGATCTGGATTCCCTGACTGTGAGACTTGGTCTTTAGAAACTCTGGGCCCCGGAGATCAAGGCACAGCTGTGGTAGCTGGAAGTCTTCCTCTCTGTCTCACTAGACCCCCAATTCCATCAACAGCCAATGGTGGGTAGGGGAGTATGTATACTAAAAGATAGCAGCAGCTGAAAGCCAATTGGCCTGTGCCAGATGCAGGAAAGAAAAGGCAAAGCCAGGGGACCCCAAATGTGGCCTACAAGGCATTTCTGCTCCCCTTCCTTTGCCAGACCTGCATGTGCTAATGAATCACAGAACCAGTTGAATGGATAAATCAAAAAAATATTTTTTTTGCCTTGTTTCCCCCCTCTAGTCTTTGGTTGATGAATAGAGACTCTTACAGTAAGTTACTAGAAGTGGAAGAGGGGAACAGTTATTTGGCATCAGGCAACAGAGATGACCAGCAGGAAGTGAGCTCAAAGCTTGTGAGGGGATGGGGGAAGGGAGCAGTCATCAGGAGGAACTATCACTGAGTCAAGGCCAACTGCGGACATGTGAATTTAGGGCAAGAACACTCCACCCACTTTTTTCTCCCTGGCTTTCCTTAAGCTACAGTTCTCATATTCTTCAGACAATTTCCAAGTTTTATTTTTGGTTTGGAAAAGGGTGAAAGTGCCTTGGCATCTGCATTTATCAGCTTGTGCCTCTCTCCCTCCCTTCCTCTCTCCCCCTCTCTGTGTGACCTACTTTGGAGACTGGAATGGCTTTTATTTTTATGGCCATGGGAGAAATCACTAAACGCAAAATTCTGTTTCAAAAGCTGAAGTTCAGATACATAGGACGCTATGCCAGGGTGCTTACTGCTCTATAATTTCTGTGGGTTTCTCCCCCTACCTCACTCTGACTTTTAAAAGGTGCTTCTAGTCCACACTGCTGAGCACAGCTGTAAAGATGTGTGTGGGTGTTTCTGGCATGTGGGCTGGCCCAGCTGTCTGCTTCCCAACCTTTCAGTCACCTCAGCATCAGGCATCTGACCTCCTGAGGTGGAGCTTGCAGCTCCTGGGAACTCCTGAATGCCCTGAGGAGAAATGGAGACAGAAATGGGAGAATCTCCTACTAAGGCAGGAAAGAATCAGGTCCAGAGGGTGAGTAGCACATCATCTTGAATGGTAAAGCAAAGACACAAGCAAAAACAGTGTTCAAATTCACTCCTCCTCTGGTTTCCTTGAGACCGCTCTGAGCAAGGCCAGTGGACTTGATTCTGAAAATGTGACACACTACTTGGAAAGTCACTCATCTTTCTTGGTTTCTATATATAGTTTTTTTTTTCAAATTAAAGTATTCACTTACCTCACATTTGTAATTAGAAGATAAATTACTGTTTGTAAAGCAAAGCTAAAAAATTATTTTGTAAACAGTCCAGTTCTGGGTTCCATTCGTTAAATATTTACAGTGACACACAGAAGAAACTCATCAATCCGGAAAACATAGATGCAAACAAGAGAATCCTGGCCCTCAAGGTGATCACATTCTACATGAGTTGCAAAAGCAACACAGAAAATCCCCCCAAATCTGTCCAGAGGAGTAGGTAAGCGTGGTTGAGTCCCTTGCTTCTCAAAGTATGGTATATTACCATCTGGGAGCTTAGTAAAAATGCAGAATCTCAGGCCCACTCCAGACCCACTGAACCTGCACTTTAACAAGATCCCCAAGTGATTGGTGTGCACATTAAAATTTAAAAAGCAGATTTTTCCACCGATCTCAGGATCGTGCGAATTTCTCAGCTTTGCATCATTAGAGACCTAGCTCCCTGTTCCTTCCCTTCCCTTTGGAATCTGCCAGGTGGCACTGTCTGCAGTTTGAGAAACATTCCTACAGGCTTCTGGGGCTTTTCCAGTGTTGCGGGGGGCGGTCAAGTGTCGAGAAGGTCCTTAGAGCTGTGAGAATAAAGAAACTCTGGGAAAGAGAGAAGGACAGAAAGCTAAGCCCTAATGATGAGGCCCTAGATGTAGAGGCTGGAGTAGAAAGATGGCAAAGGGGCTAGTATGTGGAGAGGTGGGAGTAGACCCAGGCTACTGCTAAGGGAGATGGGTAAGAAAAATGTCAAGGAAAATGAGAACAAAGATAATGTCATTGAGCTGAAGCTTGTCATGGGTGAATTTTTAAAGACATTCTTGGTAGAAGATGGGAGAGGAAATCCAATTACAAAGGGATTGGAGGGAAGGATGTGGAAGCTCTGGCTATAACTCCTTCCCCAAGAAACTTGGCAAAAAGGCAAAGGAGAACAAGGACAACAAGTAGGAAGGATCTTGGGCTGGTTGAAAGGGCCTGCACATGTCTTAAGACAGAATCAATGGGTGTAGGAACAGCTATAATGAGAGTGAATCAGGTTGGAATATATAAACTACTAAATATGTGTCTCTTATCAGGAGGAATAAACACTTTCCGTCCCATCTTCTGTCAAATAAAAGGAGACCAGAGACACTAATAAATTACTCCAGGGACCTTGTTAGTATCAGCTGCCTGCATTCTCTTCTTCATTCTCAGCCCATGAAGATCCTTGCAGCTTAAACTCCAACATACCAGTTGGCAAGGTAACAAACTGCTGGAGGATCCAGGAGAATAAAAGGATCGCTTCCTGAAACTCTAGTGCCACTGGCTACTGATCTCAAGATAGAGATTTCTGATGCTTTATCCCCTTTATATATTAAGAGTTTAAAACACATTGGAACACAGGCATGTGCTGTGCGTGCATATGTGCATGCACATGCAAACACACACGTAATCTGTTTTCATTTGGAAAGCCAGTTATGAATGATCATGGTTTCCCGGGTAAGAAATTTTCCCTTCCTTCCCTCCCTACCAGTCTGACCTCATCTGTCTTTTTCAGTGTTATGGAGGATTAGTCTGAGGCTAAAAACAGGTTGAGACATGTACAACAAAGAGGCACCGGATACTGTAAGAAGAGGGAGGGAAGCCAAGCAGTTTTCGGTCTCACAGGGCAACTGGAGAGAGGGTAAGGGGTTGAAAACAGAGTGGGAGAGAGCTGGTGGATGGATGGGAAAGGCAAGAGAGACAGATGTCTGTGATGATTTAGACAGAAACAGAAGACTTAAAATAAATTCAGAGTCAGAAAACAGAAAGAATGTGAGAAGTAGGAAAGGTAAAGGACTGAGAACTGCAGTCTGTTTGCTAAAACATACCCCATGGCAGAAAATGCAGTGGGCTTAATATTCCACTTGGTAGTAAAATAATTTCATGTTAAAACTGTGACACTGATTTACAAAGCAATGTAATTACTGGACCTTTGTCCTAATTTTCTAAAAGGATAAGGTGAGGCCCTAACTTGTTAGTCTTTGCATGCCTAGGCCACCCAGAGATAAAACTCAGGGCCAGAGCTCTAAATTCCCCCAGTATGTTTGCTTTCTGTTCTAATTAGCTGAAGCTACTTCTAAAACTAACAGATCTGCTCTTCTCTTCTCCCGGATGTCCTTGCAGCTCTATCCTCATTGCTGTCTGCACTGAGGACCATTTCCTGACTTCTGTCGGTTCCTCTCTCACTCCTTCTCAGAAACCAGGGTGCAAATCTTGGTCTCACCTGACCCCTCCACCACCTCTCCTGCCAACAGATCCTAATAGTCTTTCAGCTTCTATTATAA